AAAATAACCCGAAGTCACATGAAACAAACCTTCTCTCTCTAGAAACCCTCTCTCTCTCTCTCACTCACTAACATCGACTGCTTGATTGGAATGAATGAAATGAAATAGTGGATTTTTATATTTTAAATATAAAAATTTTCTCTGGTGCCACGACGCCCCACAACGCTAGCCACGACGCCATCCTATAGGACTCACGATACTGCCACGCACCGAGGTGTAGAATTAATTCGCCTAAAACTTGAGAACACTTCCCTTAGGGTGCTTCCATCCCTAGCGCGGTGGCTCCCCAAGGGGAAAACTTCAGATTTTTTTTAAACATGCAAAACAGATGCCATGGACCTGCTTTAGAACACATGCAGACTCTCACATACACACAAAACACCTTCAAATGCATGTAGAGGGAGGGAGAGAGAGAGAGAGAGAGAGAGAGAGAGAGAGAGAGAGAGAGAGAGAGAGAGAGAGGCATCAAAAGTAGAAGCTTAGTACGTTACCTCAACTCAAGTCGGATCATGAGAGGTAGTCCTGTATATTAATTCTGGAGGTGGCATAAACTCCATTGCCTATAAAATTGATGCATGCCATATACATGAATTCTTATTCCCGACATTAGAGCTAAGATTTATGCTGAACTTTTCAGTTCTTGATTTCCACTCATCAATGAAGAATGACCAAACAAATAGCAAATGACTCTAAAGATAGCTCACATAGTCACATGTCATGAGACTCTTTCAACTTCTATAACGTAATTCATTTTATATAGTTCGTATTTAATTTACTATATTAATATCTTTCACAATTATGATAAATAACATTATTTGTAACTGACAACAAATAATATTGATTTTTTTTAAGATTTTTCACATAAAAATTTTGATGTATTTCTGAACTCTTCTTTTATTTATGTATATTTTAGATCTTTATAAAATACTAATATGTATAAACTTTCTGGCAAATGTTCTAACATGCAACATATTTAAAATTACATAGCACCGAAATGTATAATTAATATTTATATGGACCCACGTTAGAAATTTTCCAACAAGGGGAGCAATGACTTTATTTGATTTTCTTCTATATACTAAGAGTGAAGGCACTGCCGGACACATAATTTATGTGATGATTAGAGGACTGGAAATGGAGCCTAGCTCGCACAAAGGAATCAACGTGAAGAACGGCTTAAGCAGATCCTGTGAGGGGAATATTGCATGTCTTGTGCACTTCACCCCTAATTTGGTTCATTAGGCAATAAATCTTAGTTTAAATAATCCAAAAGCAAGAAACTCTAAATCTATTTTCTTGTTGATGAGATTGATATGCTCCAAAGAATTAGGGTGGACAATGAGGATCAAATAATAATTATACTTAATTTCAATTGCCTAACTTGCATGCGCATTTTATTACAATTATGAAATATGCTCGAAAAAATCTTCCATCAAAAGAGGTTCAAATAGTTTTGAAAGCTAATAAAGCAGAAACTAATGCAAGAATTTGAAGAATTTTTTAAGTTTGAATGCCAGGGGAATATCTAAGCAAGTCTAAGGCTTTGTTTGAGACAGGTTCTTTACTGTATTCTAAAGCAGCTTTTTAGTGCAAAAATATCGAGTTCAATAAATTTTGTACTAAAAAAACAGCTTTAAAAAGCAGGAAGAAAACTGCCCCAAACGAAGCCTGAGTTTAGATCTAACTTCGAATACTATTATGAGGAAGATCATTTCAAAAAAAAGTTGTCCTAATAAACATAAATATGAAGAAGGCAAACTATATGAATTTTGGGATCTTCTATCATATTATATGGAAGTTACTATACTTTATCATATATGAAATTTAGTTGTGAAAAGTTATCATGGGAAAAAATCAAAATGGAAGTGATAATAACTCTAACTGTAATCACATATGCTCTATACCTAAAGAGAATTTCATTATCTCTTGTAGCATTAGATGCATTAGGTGTTCCTTTGAACCAGATGATAAGGTAAGGTATCTATGGCTATTATGAAGTACATAAATATTCACTGCTATCGACTTATTTATGTTGGTGGGATTTTCATATAATTCTAAAATATTAAATTATTACTACTAATTTAGACTTTATAACATGCGACCTCTCTATATATATTATTAATTGGTTAATGGATAGTATATATTATTGATATATTATCAAAAAAATAATCTTAATTGGTCACGAATCTCGAGATAAAATTGAGTCAAAATTAAATTTGGTACTATATGAACTCTGATTTCAGTAAACATGTAGTCAAACTGAACGTCTTGAAAAGGCAAACCCAACGACACCAAATTTGACTCAATCAAAGCCCAAATGAGACTAGATCGAAGACCCGAAGTGCATTCAAAAGGTTCAAACTATAAACTGGATGATCATACGATTTCCAAACATGACATGCTTATAGTCAAATCGAGCGGCTCGATGAGACGAATCCAAAGAGCTCTAGATCGTCGAATTTGGATATCATTAAGATATTCAAATGCCCAATAAATTGTCTACGATCAAGGGGATCAACATCGACCGTTCATTCAAATCACTCCCAACTTACCCTTGATTTTCCTCCTATTTACTGGCCATTCCTCTCTCATAAAACTATAAATAGACCTCACATTCCATTGAGAGAGGACCTCAAGCAAGAAAGAGAAGAAATAGAGAGAAACTATAATTCTCTTACCATCGGATCGATCATCACCGGATTATCGTCGGGCTTTTTCCCAACCACTGACTGATGCCGTGTGAAATCCCTTGAGTAAAAGGAGCTAAAATCTTAAACATCAAGGCGCCTTTTGGTGTAATGGTTGAAATTTCATTATGAAATTTCACAATTAAGCGTGCTCTTCCTGAAATAATTCAAAGATATGTGACCTATTGAGAAGTTATACCAACAAGACAAAACTGTGAGGCTCTTAGGCCAAAGCGAACAATATCTCAATAGTTAAGAGTTTGGGTTGTTACACGTTGGACTTATGCCCTGCCATCACTTGACACCTGACTTATGCTCGACAATAGACAGACATCGGACTTCCACCCGACCATAGACTATGGTTTTTTTTACCTCTATCACTAGACAACGGTCTTTCTGACCTCCATCGCCTGATGACTATTATCCTTCTAACCTCCTTAGCTAGATAATAGTTTTTCAGACCATTGTCATTAGCTGATTACAATCCTTTCTGATCACTTTTGCCTGTCAACTACAATCCTTCCAACCTCTGTCGCCAGATAACGAACTTTTTTATCACTGTCACCCGTCGATTACGGTCCTTCCGACCTCCGTTGCCAGATAACCATCTTTCTGACCATTATCACCAGCCAACTATGTTCCTTTCTAACCACTATCGCCAACCAACTATGATCATTCCTACCTTCATCTCCAAACAACAGTCTTTCTGACCACTATCGTCTACTGACTATGGTCATTTCTACCTTTGCCACCAGACAATGATCTTTCTAACCACTATCGCCCGCTGACTATGGTCCTTCTGACCTTCATCGCTAGACAACTGTCCTTCTGACCTCCGTCGCCAGATAACAACTTTTTGACATTCATCATCTGCCGACTATAATCTTTCCGACATCCATCACCAAACAACGGTCCTTCTAACCTTTATCGCTAGAATACATTCTTTCCGACCTCCTTCACATGTCGACTATGGTCCTTTCGACCTCTGTCACTAGAAAATAGTCTTTTTGACCACTGTCACCCGCTGACTATGGTCATTCTAACCTCCGTTGCCACACAACGGTCTTTCTGATCACTGTCACACACCAACGACGATCCTTCCGACCTTCGTTGCTAGATAATGGTCTTTTTGACCACTGTTGTCTGCCGACTACGATCCTTCTTACCTCTGTCACCAGACTACTATCCTACCAACCTCCGTGGCTAGATAATGATTTTTCCAACCTCCATCGCCTGTAGACTACGGTCCTTCCGACCTCCATCGCCATACAATGGTCCTTCAAGCCTTTTTCTCTAGACTACTGTCTTTTCAACCTCCGTCGCCTTCCAGCTATAGCCTTTCTGACCTTCGTCACCAGACAACTATCATTTTGACCATTATCGCCCGCCAACTATGGTCCTTCCAACCACTAGATAACAGTCTTTCTAACCACTATCGCCAGCCGACTACGGTCATTTCGACCTCCATCACCAGACAATGATCTTTGCTGAGCACTGTAATCCACTAACTAGACAACGGTCCTTCTGACCTCCATCGCCAGACAACAGTCTTTCCGACCTCTATCACTTGCCGACTACGGTCCTTCGGACATCCATCGTCAACGGTCCTTACAACCTATGTCGCCAGATTACGGTCTTTCCGACCCCTGTCACACGTCAGCTATGGTCCTTCCGACCTCCTTTGCCATATAATAGTCCTTCTGACCTTAGTCATCTGCCGACTATGGTCCATTCGACTAAACAAACATGTCAATATTGATTCTTCCAATTCCCACCATGTAATGCACTTTATCTAATGTATATTTTCTACATTAAACCAAGGTCTTCCCTCAAGGAAGGGTCTCATTTGCCTTATTTGTAATTGACTGCAAACACTAGTGGATTCATTCAAATTAGGCCAGGCCCCATGGTTTTTCTCCATTTTCAAGGGTTTCCACGTAAAAACTCTAGTGTCTCTTATGTTACACCCTCTCTTTTATCTGATTGTGTGCTGGATCTTCATACAAAGCTATGACGATAAACTTTATATTTCTCCATCGCCGCGAATATTCTAGGACGCAATAATTATGAAGCCTTTTAAGTGAAAAAGAAGTTAAATTCTTAAACATCAAGACGTTTTTTAGTGTAATAATTGAAATTTCATTAAAAATTTTCAATGTTAAGCTTGGTTGTATAAGAGTAATTTTAGGATGTGTGACATCCTAAGAAGTTACAGTAACAAGATAAAATTGTGATTCCATTAGGTTAAAATGAATAATATCTCGATAGGTAAGAATTTGACTATTACACATACAAAAAGGAAAAAAATATTCTATGCAGACGCAGAACGCAATACGGAGACCAACCATAATGCGCCACTTCACCCTATACTCGATACCACGGCTTGGTACTGCTCGGTACCGTGGCTCTGTATCGGCTATGTGGTGCATTCTAATTGGTCTCCAGATGACATTCTGAATCCGTTCTCCGCTCAAAATAATTTCTCACAAAAAAGATACCTATGATTGGGTCGAATTAACGATCCAGTTGATTAATCAGACCCGATTTCGACTTGAAGTCCTTGTTGGATCGGAGTCTAGTGGGATTCAAACCCGACCCACTTGCAGTCGAGAGGAGGACAATTTTGCTCGTGAATCTGAAATCATCAGCAGACAGGCAAAGAAAAAACCCGTCATCTTTGGGGAAAATTCTGGAGAAGGTTTGGGTGGTACGCTCATGGTCATGGCTGCCGCTATCGCCGCCCATTCTCACTCCTCTCCTGTCTTGCACGTTACTCTGACGACTTCCAAATCCCCAAAAATCCTTACTTTAGCTTCTCCGCTCCACCATGACGCAAGTAGGAACTTCTTCCCCGTTTTTAGAACCCTCCGCTCTTCTCGGTACTCTCGGAAACCGTTCAGAACTGCGTTTAAAGTAGCAGCGACCGACCCAAAGGTGCTTTATCGTTAATCTTCTACTGTGGTTGCATTAATTCTTATTGCTAATTAGAGTTTCCGGGGAAATTTTCTGAAATGGTGCAACTGATTTTGTTTGTAGTTTTCCTTTATCATTATTTCTTACTGAATGGTTTGAATCTCTTTGAATTTAGATACTATGCCTGAATGCAGGATGTTCATCATACGTTTTCAAGAAACTTATTTAATTGTGAAAACGTGTCTGGATTTGAGTTTGATGGTTGTTGTTGCTAGACTTAACCTTTCAACTTAAGCTGGAAATAATGGTCGAGTGTCCTACACAGTAGTTCTCGCAATTAGGTTTAATGCAAGTCTATTTCTTCGTAGATGACCCTGGGAAATAAGATTTTACCTGTTCGTTGCGTTTCCTTGCTTTGGGATGTAATGCAGAGAATTTTAGTGTGACATATTTGGCCAATGTAGTACATACTTTTTAGCTCTGGTATGATAATGGTGATATATTATCTCTGGGCTTAGTTAGGAGGTCAGTGCATCTTCTTGCCTCAACAACAATATAGTAGTCCCTTTGTGAAGATGATCATAATTATTTTATTTTTCATCTAAAGCGGTGTAAGTTTGCATCAAAATTTGTCTCTTGCTTCTAACTAAAAAAATTGTTTGACTACAAACTAAGGGGGGCTGTTTGGTAGAATCTAGGATTTCATTTAAGTAGGATTTCATAAATCCTCCAAATCTGGATTTGCGAAATCCTGGGGGGTTAAATCCTAAAAACTGTTTGGTAACATTCATGATAAATCCAGTTAAATTCTGTGCGACTGTTTGGCTATGCAAGTCAGGATTTAAGGCAGTTAAAAGAAAAACAGTTGGAAACGTTCGGACTTCCTCCTCTTGCACGAATAAGAAGTTAAATCCGCCGAATCGGTGGATTTGCGAAATCTGGGATTTACCGCAAAAAGTGGTCTTTTTCCGTCAACCGCGGCTTTCATTTGCCTTGAGATTTGGATTTGCATTTTAGGCCGTTTTGCTGGATTTCGCCCAAATCCGGCCTTAAATCCGGCCTAAATCCACATACCAAACAACCCCTAAAACTGTAGGAGAGTTTACAAATACGCATTAGCAATGACAGTTGGTATAGGAGTGAGGAGATTCAGAAGATTATTAAGAGAAAATTTAGTGCTTTTAAAAGATTAGTAAAAGATTAATTAGTTTCCTTGAAACTTAATAGGAGAATATGAGATATATAAAATAGCTAAGAGAAGAGATATAAAAATCTTGGCATGTTAGCTGCATTAAAACTTAAGATCATATGATTTAGTTAAATATGACAGAGAAAAGTTAAAAATGTTACTTTGAGAGTTGTTTGATTAAAGCCTTAAGGAAGAAATCATATTAAAATATTATGATGAATAAATAATGAGTTATATTGTTGATTGAACCAAAAAAGTGGATTGGAGTTGGCTCTAAAGAAAAGTCATAAAGTTTAAGTTTAGGTTTAGCTGAGATATCTATTGAGATTTTGGAGTTGAGGGGATACTACAGTAGTTTGATTAATCATATTTTCAGTGGAGTTTTGAACGCTAAGTGGATCCTAATTGTTTGGAGACGGTAGTTTGGGTATCTTTATTTAAGAAAAAAGGAGATGACTAAGATTGTATTAATTATAGAGGAATTTAAGTTGTACTAAAATGTTCTTGAAGCGAGTAATGGAATGCATACTAAGTAAAATAATATCAGTTTTGAGAATTATCCATGAAAGTAGTTTTTTGTGTTGAGACTGTTAGTGTAAAAGTATTGAAAATAAAGGAAGAAACTTCTTATGATTTTTATTGTTCTTTAGAAGACATGATCGAGCAACATGAGAATTGTTTTTGTGTGCATTAAAGAAGGAATGTGCATGTCAAATATATATTTAAGTTATTAGAAATATATATGATATGACTAGTGTTAGAAATAATTATGGAGATATAAAAAAAGTTTTCATTTATAATAGGATTACATCAAGGATCAACATTTATTCTTTTTTTTTTTTCACTTTTGTAATGTTTATGAAGATTCTTATAAAGAATATTCAAAAAGTTGGCTGCTTTGGTGTATACATTTTGTAGATGATAGTTCAAATCCATGATTTGATAAAATAAGTGAAAAGTTATAACATAATTCTGTGGTATGGGTATAATAAGAATTTCAATTTCATACTTAATTCATAACATTCCTCAAGTCATGATGAATTCAAAAAAATATTTCATTTAGGAACTTGATTTGAGGCATACATTCTTCCTTCTTGAGGTGAAACAAATCTCACTTAATACTTCAATATTTACTAGCTAGCAAGTAGATAAAACTCAACTCTCATAGAAGGATACGAATGGAAAAATTATTTAGGATATAAATGCTTTGAAATGGCAGAGTAAAGACTGGGTATATGCTATATAGTTTTAATGTGTGTTAGATTAATAATAATTTGTCAATATTATCATAATATAACGTGACGTATAGGTATGAAAAGTTTAAATATATTGAATTTTTTATACAAAAGAATAAAAATATATCTTTTAGAGTGAATGTTGAGTGGCCATAATGTTGAAGTGCTTTAGGAGTTTTATGTATGCAATAAGAAGATTTCTTGAAGACTTATAATATATGGTTTATAAAACTGCAATTAGGCAAGCTATGTTGTATGGATCATACTATAACAACAACATAATCGTCATCATCAAGCCTTTATCCCACTACGTAGGGTCAACTATTTGAATTATTTTTCTCCATTGTGTCATGTTAAGAGTCAGATTCTCATTTATATCTAATAAAAAGATCATTTCTTGTACTTTTTAACCAAGTATTTTTAGATCTACCTCTACCTTTCTTAAAATAAGCCAAATCTAATACATCAATGAATCATACATTTAGATAAAAAAAAAGTTATTGACAACTATATTAGACATGATAGAAATAAAAATATTAAAATGAATGTATGGAATAAGTTAATAAAATAAATTAATGAATGATTTTAATAAATGAATGATTGGAGTAGCAACTATTGAAGATGAGTTAGTTGAAGATAAACTAGTGGTTTAGACATGTACAACAATGTAGAAAATGCACCCATTTGTCAGATACATAAAATTTGTGCCAAAGGATTATGATGAAAGTATGTTGGTATTGAAATTAGTTTTAAACGTAGACCGAATACGAGTTCAAATAGGTTTTAAAGGTTTAATGAGGACTTAAAGCATACTGATTATAACTAAATCAAAAGCTTTCTCAAACATGAAGTGAAGTATATTGTTGGCATCAAAGTATTTCTTTATTAAACCTCTTGAATAATGGTTGGCTATCCCTTGGCCAATGGTGAGAGTAACAATCTAATATTAGAAGATTAATCAATATTTGATTAATTAAGCCATGATTAATGACTGGTCAACCGTGCAAATCATGATGTTGCTATTTATATTATAACAAGTACACAACTTAATTAAGCTATGGATTGTTCAATCCATACATCACAAAGGAATATAATGAGAGTGTAGCCAAACCAAGCCAATTGAATATCCTATTAATTTGTTCTTCTATCAATTTTCTAAATCTGTTTGTATAAGAAGACAGGCAAATAAAATCTTTCACAATCATCTTGTTCTTTCATAAGCAAGCAAGATCTTGAGTATTATCGAAACCCTTTTTTTCTCTACCAAACAACCCATGATGCTTACTAAATGTATGTCTTTTACCATTTTTTATGTCCTCACACTCATAGTTGCGGTTAAGAAAAGAAGGAAAAACACTATTAGGTTCTTTTTGTAAGCCTTTTAAAATGCAGCTACTTGCTCATACAATTCTAGAAAGTTACATACCAGTGGCCCAAGCTCCACATCCCGAAATCATCCACTCTCCTTACAAATTCAGCACCTCTTCTTGTGTAGCTAATACTCATCTCCTCCCTAAAAAGTGGTTCTAGAGGAGGCATTCCATCTTCTCCCTCCAAGATTTCCACTTATGGATTTTCCCTTCCTCTAAACGTGTTATGGTTCCCACCTCTTCCATGGCCGCTGGCAGTTTCTTTGCTTCCGATGTCACCGATTTGGGTTTGGGTTTGGGTTTGACTTCAAGCAATTTCTTCAACAGGTCTTCCACCATGACGAACTTTCCCTCCATCCTTTCATTGACGGATGCAATTTGATTTTGAAAATCAACAATCTTCTCCTCAAAATCTGCTTTGAGTTGCCCAAGTTCTCCCTCCAAAACATCCACTTTCCTTCCGACCATTGGTTTCCCTTAGATTGACGTGCTATGATACCAATTTGATATGAAACACTTGTAGATCTCAAGCATTTCCTATCAATCCTCGGAAAACAACGAGAATTCCCCACAAAAATCCACACAAAACCACAAAAATAGTAGATAATTTGTATTATTTGATAAAAGGGAAACAAAAAATACCAAGATACAATTGATCCTCAATTCAAAAGGAGGATCTATCTCTCCCAAATCTCTAGATGCCGCTAGAGCCGAAAAGAAACCTAAGAGATCTCAAATTTCAGCCAAAATCAAGATGCCCTAACCCTAGGAAAACAAACTATATAATGTATACAAATCAAAAGGAAATCCCTAAACAGTCCATACGTTCAAATTTCCCTCCTAACTCCCTCAAAAAACCTTTCTAAACAGCTCACGCCTGGGCGGGCGGGCGTTTAGCACGTACATGAGGCCGACATTTTTGCCTTCGTTCGCGTAAGGGACCGTCTAGACCGATCTAACATCATGCTTCATCAATGGGATGTTAGAGTCAAGTATATTTTGTGTGCAATGGGCTTGCTATTAAAATGGAAGAAAGATAAAGTGGGGGGCTTTTTTAGGTTGATTGGGAATCGTTTAAGATAACATAGGAGAGAGGAAAAGAATTAAAAAAGAGAGAGGAATAGAGGGAGGGAGGAGAAAGGAAATGGAAAGAGAAAATGAGAAGGAAAATTCCACAAAGCTTGTTTATCATAGTAAATTTTTTTGACGTAGTGCAAGTATAATGGT